AGGAGATGTCCAACCAGACGGCGGTTCTGGACAGAGTCTGCGGTCTGCTGCTGGAGAAGAGCGACAGCATCACACCGAGAGACGGTCAGAGGACAACAAGTCCTTCTGCTCACTCCCTTTATTTAACGTTCTATAGTCAATTTTACATGTTTTATTCTTCCATTTAATTCTCTACTGCTTCTAAAACAAACGGAGCGCTTGGAAAAACACACTGAGATGGTTTAGGCAATAAGTTTTTTTTGGTATCAGATTAAGTCTCAATCCAGGGGCGCTGCGCCGTTACCTAGCAACCCAAGCAGAGTTCCAGCATGTTTGGTCAGCTGGTTTTATCACTGGAAGAGACAAATGTTTGGTTCTCAACTCACCATCCAGTAGGGCTGGACAATATGGCTGACAAACGTACCATGAAATAAGCGTTTTATATCAGTCAATATCAAAAACGATTGATTAGTTGTTTTGTGTCAAGTCTTGCCAACCAAGTGGCGTGACGTTTTTTGTTTTTCTTTTTAGTTTTCGCCCAACTCCACTATTTTTCATTTGAATCAGTTAGGAGGAAACACTAACTGTATAGATGCTCAGTGGGAACCTCAATGCTCCTCGTGCTCTTGCAGTCCTGCCCAAGGCCCAGAGGTCCAGAGGAATCCTGCTGTTCTGGGAGGAGTGTGTGAACGCCAGCGGCTCTCCGTTCTACTGCAGCGCGGAAAACTTCTCCAGGACGCTGAAGAAGCGCTACACTCACAAAGTCAAGGCCAAGCTGCCTGGACAGTCGGAGAGAGGTGCAAATCTGGCGAACAAACTGACCGGGTTGGTTCCTGGGAATGTTTTTGTGCATTTCTTCTTGTGTTGTCGCCTCTGCAGTTTTCCAGACTCCTGCAGCAGCTGCAGGCCGCCTGCAGGCTGCTGTCCGGCGGCCGGCCCGTCTGCAGCCTGGACAGGGTCACTCTTTTCCAGCTCTCCGTTTATCTGAAGCGCTGGAGCTTCCAGGATCTGGGGAGCACATCTCCCGCCTGTCCAGAGAAGGTACAGTTTTCACTTCTAAACAAATGGTTGAAATAATTTAAAACTCTTCAATTTCAATTAATATACAATAAAAAGAGCCTTTATTATCCTGCAAAGGAGAAATTCTGGTTTAACAGAAGCTTCAGGTATAAAGATTCACACAAGAAAAATGGGTGTCAAAAACAATTTATAAAAACAGATGCACTGAAAATGAGGCTTTAAGTTTTGGAAAGAGTTTGATTTCTCCACTTGACATCCACTCTGCACCGTTTTGTAATAAGTTCATTCTATTTTATTTAAAACCTAAACTTGCGAAACATTAACAGTTGAAGCCACATATCTTTATACACCAAATAAAAGAGAGACTTTTTTTCTCAGTGTTTGAAGTTATAAACTTTCTTGTTTTTAGTGAGTCAGGATGACTGAAAGTTTTTCTGTTTGCTAAACGCTAGAAAACTTGAACTTTTTTTGCAGAGATTTCAGTTTGTAACTTTCTTTCCATTTTGTGTTTAAACATTGAATTTGTTCAGCAGTTTAACCAGCTGACCAAATGTTCTGGAGCTCCATTTGGGTTGCTAGGTAATGGTAATTTTGAATAATTTTGGAAATTCATTTTGTCAAAAGCCAGAAAACTTGATGAGAAAATGTTCTCATACCTTTCTCTGCATTTTGTGTTTTTAAGTATTAAATCTCAGCAGGAAAGTCTTTGATTGACACCATTTGTTTCAAAGTCATGAATATTTATTTTTTCTAATGGCTCAATAATTTCTTAAAGTTTAAACAATATAAAAATTGTTTAAACTTTTTTATATGTCTTGTTCTCAGTCTAAACATTTCAAAACATAGTTGTTATATTTTAGTTTCTTATATTTATTTACCTGAATGTAGAATACCATTACAAGACATAATAGCAATGAATATTCAAAAATTAAATGTTGTTGTAAACTCATATCATGTTATAATTAATTTTTTTTTCAAATCATTATTGTGGTGCTTTAAAAGTTTTAAGACTTCCTTGAAAATCCTTAAAGTGAGTTTCACTGAGAGAAAAGTGAACAAACTGAATAAAACGTCTTTATTTCTGCTCTGCTCGTTGGTTAATTCACCTGGCTTTACAATTATCTTGTTTTTTAGCTCATCTGTTGTTTATTTGTTTTTAGAGTACATCCTGTCGGCGCTGAACGGCCCAAACGCAGGAAGTGTTTAAACAAGCTGAGGGGGCGGAGCCTGTCGGAGCTCCTCCCCCTGAAGAGCACGCTGCAGACTATCGCCCGCCCTGGTGGACTCCAACCACAAAGTCTGCAAAGCTGCAGCCAGCTGCATCAGCAGAGCCGCAGGCTGCAAGGCCTTCAGGAGCAAGGTGGTTCTGAAGAACCGGACCGGTTCACTTTTTCTGTGTTTTATAGACTTGCTCTGTTTAAGGATCCCACCTTCATTGCTTATTTAAATTGGCTGGAGAAATGTTGCATGAGGTTTCTAAATAATTTATCTTTTATTTAAAAATTTAATTTTCTATTTTTTTCTACCCATTTCTAAAAATAATTTTGGAAATTAACAAATGTGTATTTTTTTAATTTTTATCACAAATGTATTTAGCTGTCTTTTTTAAGATTTACCTTTTTTTAACAGTTTCTAAAAATAGATTTAGAAACTAGAAAATTTCCGGTATTTTTAGTTCTATTTGAAATTTTTTATCACAAGTAGTTAGTTGCTTTACCTCTTTTGTTTTGTTGTTGTTTTTACTGTCATTTAGTTACATTTATAAACTTTACCAAAGTTATTTTATCAATTTCTCAAACGGTTTTGAAATGTAACTGTAAAATTTTACTTGAATTAAAAACATTTATTTTGACTCAAAGTTCTGTTCTGAAATTGGTGTTCTAAATAAAACGGATTCATTAAAACTTCACCAGATTCAGTTAAACTTCCTTTAATCCCTTTTTCTGTGTTTTTCCTCTGTTTGCTGCAGTCGGTGGTTTTCTACACAGAGAGTCTGAAAAGTTCTGATGTTCTGATCCAGACGGGTTCCTGCCTGGCTCTGAAATGCCTCCGGGTGAGCAGAACCACAGAAGAATCAACCGAACAGGTTTTGTTATTCCAGTTCTTGACTGACTGTCGCGTTTCAGGCGACGGAGAGCGTGGAGCGGATCGCCGATCTGTGCAGATCCACAGACGAAGATCTTCGTGGCGTCGCCAAGGAAACCGTTTATCGTTTGGTAACAGCCTGATCGATAATCGTTCATCACCGAACTCTTTTTAAAGGTTTTTGACGTTTCGTGATGTGTTTTTCCTTCCAGGCAAGAAAGGATTCGAAGCTTTCCAGAGGATGGAGCAGATGTTGGTGGACATGCAGGATGAAGCGTATCAGAACCTGGGAGACGGAAATCACCATTTTATAAAATGCAGAGACAAACTTTACCAAAAACCTGCATCGGAGAAGAAGAGCTGACTTTTTCCTGCAGAACTTTGAGCAGAACTTCAATTTACCATTTTATTTTTGGGTCAGAATCTTGTTTTAAGAGACTCTCTGTTGCAGAAACATTTATTTAACATGAAAATGCAGCTTTAAGATGACTTGGACTCTTTCATGATGGAAAAAATGAAATATTTTCATCATAATTGATGTTTTTTTTTTTTTTGTTTGTGATAAGACGCATAATGAGTAAATATTTGGTGCTTATAAAGCCCAGAAGGATGAATAAACCCAGCGTGATCCCAAAACGGTTCCAGCTGCTTTGACTGTAATTGAATGAAAAAAAATTAGACCTGAAGAAATTCAAACTAATTTAGATTAGATTAGTACAAACATTATGAACGGAAAACATATATTCAGATGGTAAATTGTAATAAAAAATAAAGGTACCCGTCATGAATTGAGGACAATTTAAGAAAAAGATGTAAGAAAATATCAGTCATTCTGGCCGCATTTATTTTATCAGTGAAAGCAAAAAATCAGAGCTGATTTAATTTAAATTTCAACATTTAATTATTGTAATGAAAAAACCCAGCATTTTAAAATTCTGATAATTTATTTTGGATTTAGAAAATCTCCAAAACTTCAGGAAAATCTGTATGTTGTAGACAAAGTGCTGCCCCTCTAGTGGCTCAACCAGCAAACTGGAGCACAGAAGGGGTTGACTTTTGTCCCTGGTTTTCTTTAGTTTATTTCAAATTGTTGAAAATTCTGAGGAAAACCAAATCATATTCAGGTGTTCATAAGAGCAATAAATGTAGAAATTTGGTACCAGAACAGGACGTGGAAAATCTGATTGAGATTCTTCCATGACTTGAGAGACGCTGATTGTTTGTGTTGCATTGAGCTACAAATACGAGTTAGGACTGCGCGGAAAATACATGAAAATTATTTCTGCCAAACTGAATTTGCTAAAAAAGAAATTCTCCTTTTCAAATTAAAAAATGTCCTTTTTTTCCAGTAAATTTCTGAGCTGAATATCAGATATTCTAGAAAGAGGCAATGTTTTCTAGGAAATTTAATGTTTCAAGAGAAAATTTTTGATTTCAAGTTTTCTAGTAAATTTTCACCTCAAACTCAAATTTTTCTAGTTTTCTTTTGTGCGCGAGTCAGAGATTGTCTACGCAACGGCCGCAGCGCTTCGTCGTGCCATCAGGTTGAACAGAAACATGCGGTGGCGCCGGTCCAGGTTGAACACAGAGGAAACTTTATTTAAATTAAAACGATCCTGTTGCACATCAGAGGCGACTCTCCCCCAGCAGGAGCGAACAGCGAAAACACCTGGAGAAACGAGCCGTCTGCAAGTGAGGGTCTCACTTCCTGTATTGCTTACGGTTGATAAAAATGGCCGACTGTTTCCGCTTTCACACATCAAGATGGAAAAAAAAAACTCACAGCGTTTAGATTCTGTGAAAGTTTCAGCATTTTGTTCAGAATTCATTAAATCTGTGAGAATGTTTTGAAACCAGCAAACCATGCACAGGAAAGAACACAAAAAAACTAGATGGGGTCAAAGGTGAACCATGGAGGAACTGGAGGAAGCTCAGCATGTATCTGATGGACAGGAAGGACTCCAGGCGGTGATTGTCCGGTCGGTGTGCAGAGTTTCACTGGATCCCTTTGATTCCTCCTTCCTTCTCCTTGCAGCGTGGCAGTATCATGCTGCGGGCCGCCGCCGCCTAGGTCCCTATGATGGCGGGGTCATGTGCGGCGGCGGGCAGCGCGGCGTCCTGGCAGTGGTACAGGAAGCAGTTCCCCAGCAGCTGTAGCAAATGAGGAAGAGCGCGGCGAGGAAGACGAGGGCGCAGATGGTGCAGGGTTTCCTCTCCAGCAGGAAGCTGAGCAGGTAGAAGCCCATGAACATGGAGTGGTTGAACCACAGCGCCGGGTTCAGCGGCTTCGGGATCAGCAGCACCGGCAGCAGCCACTGGAGGCAGTACATCGTCACCGCAGGGGGAGGTACGGGGTCAGGGGTCAGAGGTCAGAGCGGAGGTCAGGGGCGGGGGGCGATGAAGACGTGGTTCTAGCCAACAGAACCGGGATGAAGGACGAGATCGAAGCTGCTGGAGGTTTCTGTTGTCAGGTCATCCCTGGAAGAAAAGAGCATAAATTAAACCAAAATGACAGAAAATCAACATTTACAATAAAAACATCTCATTGATTTAAATATCTGAAATACTTTTAGTTTTTCAAATTGATGTTTTGTCAATGAAACACAAATTGTAATTTAAAAAAAACAAAACGATGTCCTTCAGTAGAAAGCAGCTGGACTAGTTTGACCCCATTTGACCTTTTATGCATGTCCGCATAAACTTCTCCTGATCTGTACAACTTGGATAAATAGATATGTTTAATGAAGATTATCAGCTTAATGGCACAGTAGTTATGACTAATAATGTCCACACCCTTTTCCATTTATTTATATTTATTCATAACCACTCAAAGTTTAACTTAACTTCTGCTTTCAGTTCCCTCCTCAGTAACCAGGTTACTGCCATAAAATTAACAAAACCTAACATAAAAAAATGCAAAAGTCAAGAATTAATATTTAAAAAATGCTTTTGTACAACAACTTAAAATGTTGATATTTAAGAATTTTAACTTTGCATTAGTTTTTAACTACTTAAGTAAGTATAAAGGACAGAAACTTCGGGAGAAAAACAAAAAAAGCTATTATGCCTTGCTGTAGATATGTTTTATAAATCTGCACTTCTAGGAAAAAATCCAGATCTATAAAATGAGTTTCTATAACCATAAATCATCAAAATGATTTTCAGAACAGTAATAAAATTTGCAGTTTTGAAATACTGCAAATGTATTGCCATCTCAATATTCTGACTTAATACTCAAAATATAAACTAAATATCTCCCTTTTATTTGGCTCAGCCCCCATCCAGCTGCTGCCATTTTAATCCAGATGAAGAAGTTTTATCTTAATGACATGAACCGTCTCAGCCTGTGACATGTCTGTTTTCAGCAGGAAAACAAAGACGCTGCTGGCTGATTTATTTCTGGCAGAAGCAGCTGTTTGCGCTTCCCTGTCTGCCACATGACCAGATGGCATTAAATATCGCCTGTTGGTTGGATCCAAACCCGGCCTGAGTTCACTGCCCAGCTACCTGCGTTACACAGACTCTCATTGTATCAGCAGGGGTCACAAACCCAAAGGAAATTAAAGTTACACGTTTTATTTACCTCTTTATAAATGTTTAGATAAGCTACTAGCTTGATTAAAGTAATCCTATAAGTTTGCCTGAAAGGAGGAAGCATCTATAACACAGCTAGTCTAAATAAAATGCGACATGACATTTCAGGTAGTTTAATATCAAAGTCTAAGGTTCAGTTTCTGGTTAGGTGAATTTATGGACTCTGATTACTGGTTATCATCAACTCTTAGCGCTAAAGCTACTTACCAAACAACACGTTAAAATCTCCAACGCCTGTTCAGAAACCCACTGCGAACTAAATACAGTGGTTGGTTTCAGTTATTGTTTAAATTATGCGAAGTTAAACCACAATCCGGGGCCTTTAACGCTTGGAATAAAACCCGAAACAACAGCATGATGGAAAGCTAACAACAAGCTAACACAGATTCATAAATACTTTCCCGAACAAACAAAAGAGAAAACGTCCATAACAACACGGAAACATGACACAGTGAAAGTTGAAAAAATAACATGAGCAAACCTGACATCGGTAGGGTTCATTCTCAGCAAATAGAAACCTCTCGTTTTTAACTGCTAGACTGCGTATGTAGCAACGGCTAACGAGCTGCCAACGGCTTTAGTAGTTCTTCTTCTTTTTCTTCTTCTTCTTCCTCCTCGTCATGGTCTTTTCCCCCCCGCTTCTTCTTCTCTTGCCAAAAGGCAGTTGCCAAACCAACTTGCCGCCACCTACTGGACTGGGGCCTGAAACAAGCCCTTGCCAGAGAAGTAAATTCTCCTGATTAGGTCGGTGACTCTGGGTTTTCTTTAAATTATTTTAAATGTCATTAATCGAGCAGATATTGACCAGATGTAGCGTAAAGTCCTCTGTTTTTATCACTTTGTTTAGTTCTTCATATGGAAGTGTTTAACTATTACAACTAGCTAGGACACAAATGAAAGAGCAGAATGTTTTATCAACATATGAAACTCGTTAAAATTACAAGATATTGATCACTTTACTTCACAATCTGGTAAAATGCAATGCTGCCATCTAGCTGACTGGAGTGTAATAACAGTAGGCGATGAAACAAATGGAAAAACTAAAAATATTATTTGCACTAAATTGATTTATCTTTGGAGGAAAATAAGAAGTAAGTTAATCTTGAATGTTTTCCTCTGGAGTCTGGTTGGTATTAATCATCACATTTATTATTCATTATGCTGCTTAGTAAAATAGCCAAGACCATAGCAGAATATGAAACATTTGAAAAACATACTTTTATTTGTGAATTATCCCAACTTTGTGTCGGTCTGTGGCTGTAAATCCCAATAAAATATAAACATATTTTTTAATTATGATATTAATTATAAAACTCCAAAACTGTAAATAAAGTTGATTTAAAATCAAAGAAGCTTTTATCATTTTTTATTGATGTATCATGTACTAAATAGATAACATAAAAACAAAATATGAATGTTTTAACTTGTAGTTTTTTATATGTTTACTGGCGATGAACAGGAGAATAATTGGCAATCAAAAAGTTCAATTTAACATGTTAAGAAATCAAAATTACAAATAAATAAAAACAAAATGTTTAGTAAAAAAAAATGTTTGTTGCTATAACCTGCACCTTTAATCCCATAAACTGCAAGCAGCGAAATTCCTTATACAGAATAAAACCAGCAAGAGAAAACAGCAACATAAATTATATATATTGTGTATTAATCAAAAATCAACTTCAATGGTTTAGTTTATTTTGGTGCTGCTCTGAAAGCTACATGCTAGCTTTTTGTCACTTAGTGGTAGTCAATCTCATCAACATGGGCGCCTGAGCTAAGAGTAGTGCTCCCAACATGGCCGACCTTTGCTACAGGCGGTTGTATAAACAGGTTCAAACTGCTATTACTTAATAAACACCTCACTGATCCCGTTTATCTGACAAACTACAGCCAGTATACTGTGGTATATATGAAGATAAACATGAAAATGAGGAGCAGTATCTGTCAAATAGAGTTTAAATAATTAGAAACAACATAAACATGAGATTTAAGCCCATGACAATTTGGTCTATTTTTATCTTCAAGGACTTGAGAAACCAGTTCTGACTTAATGTGACCAAAATAGCAGAACTACACAAACATTTTGAAATCTGCCAAATTTCTTTCTATTTTCCTTCCAAATCAACTAAACTATTAAAAAAGTCTGTATGTATATTTATATACATATATATATAGTAGAGGATCTGATACAAATGTTCCATAAATGTTGCAGTGATAACCTCTAATGTCACTTAAGCTCTTGCTAAGCTATACAGACACTCAGTCTGTCCCAATGAGGAACTACTCACCTCAGCATGTTGAATGTTATAAGTGGCTGCCTCAGCAGGGAGGTTGGATGTATTTTTGAATTAATAACCTTTGACTTAACACACAACCTTCAAATACATGAATGGACTTAATGTTTTAATAGATTTAAAACGCTACAAATCTAAAGTGAAATTTTGAACAACCTAAATAAAGTACTGATTAGAACCGCTACTTTATTTAGTGACGTTTGAGTCAAAATTGTGTGCAAAATAAAGTTTTGATATGCAGATTGATATCAGTATGTAAGAAATTGCATTTCAAAAAAGTGATCCATCAAAGGCAAAACCCATTGGCTGAATAAAACATATATGTATTCATACATTTTAGACACAATAACCAACAATGACGCCATTTACATTCTGGTACGCTACAGAACAACATTTGCTTTGGTCCTACAACTAAAGTGGGACTGGAAACAAGCAAAATAGCGTTCCAAACTGCACCGACCCGTACTGTATCTATACGGTACCATCTGCAAAATTACAGTAAAAAAAGATCATTTGAGTTATTTATTCTGTCATAGGAGACAAAATGATGGCTCTTTGCTTCAAGTCATATTTTAACCATCTTATTTGTTCATTTCTAAATGTTACAGTTTCAAACAAATATTTAGTTAGCAAGTTAAATTTTCACCGCCAATCTAAATGTTTTCTTAGCAAGCTAAAAATTTAGCTAACATGCTAATTCACCTCAAACATTGTTGTTTTAAGCTAAATTGTTGTACATGTGAAGAGGAAAATGAATGCAGAGGTGACATGAGCTACAATCCAAGTCAACCAGTTTCACCATCAGAAATTTATTTAGTTTAACAAGACCTTGATTTTGACAGTCCACTCTATCCTATCTATTGGTAAAATTAGTATATTTGCTAAATATTTAACTCTGATCTAAATATTTGGCTAAAGAAAAAATATTTCATTTGTAAACTAAAAAGCCTAGTAGAAAAATATCTAGTTTACAAACTAAGTATTTAGCTTAACAAAATGTTTAGCTTGAAGCTAAACACGTGGCTTGCTAAATTAAACACTTAGCTCCAAACTAAGTGCTTAGTTAGCAAGCTATTTAGCCACAATCTAAGTATTTTAGTTAATTAATCTCCTAGGTAAATATTTAGCTTCCAAACTAAATATTATTTTGAAGCTAAATATCTGACATGCGAACTAAATATTTAGCTTTGAGCTAAACATTTGCTTTTAGCTACGTATTTAGTTTACGGACTAAATATTTACCTCAGTAGCTCAATATTTAGCTTCCAAACTAAATATTTAGCCAGTCAACTAAATATTTAGTTAGAAGTTAAATATTTTGCTTGTAGCTAAATGTTTAGTTTATCTAGAAGTCTGTAAATATTTAGTTTACAGACTAAATATTTACCTTGCTAATATTTAGTTTGAAACTGTTTATTTGATGATTACTGAGTAACGGGTGATTTATTTAATTTTTTATGTTCTGAATAACCCAAAATACTGCTGTTCATTTTTGACCATGTTACTTTACAAATAGCTCCACAGGCTGGCTTTGCTTGATTTTAGTCACCAGAGCAGTCGCCCTCTGCTGGCCGGCGGTATAAAGCACAGTGGCTTTAATGTTGGCACTGAGGAGATGTTAGTGATGTTACCAAATGAGATAATATGACAACTGTGGCTCAACTGTAATGAAGAGCTAGGCATTACATTTCTAATGGTGAGATGTAAAAAAAATAACTGCAACGTGTCCCGCCTGAGTTCAAATGATATCAACCCAACACTCGAACTAAAGCTGGGTGATTCAACCGGACGTTACAGATATAACGTCCAGGTTGTTTATAGCCGAGCACCAATGGGCACATGGGCAGAATGTTGCCCATGTGTCACAGCCTCAACAATAAGTCAGGAGCAAACTAAAGTGACCATTCCAGCACTATTTATAAAAGCACATCAGGCTAACAGAGCACAGGTAAAGCTTCATGTAAAGTGTTGCACAGCAAACAGTTAACTTCTCCAGCAGGTAAAATTACTACTAAAAGCAAAAATAGTGATATTCCAGTCTCTGTGTGTGGCTAAGTTCAGCATGATGCAGCATCTCAGAGGTCGTCCTTCCAAAATGAATCAGTAAAGTGCCAAACTTTTCTTTCACAGTTGATAGAGGTGAAACCTGCTGTTCGGGATTTGGGAGAAGTCACTGGTGTCGCACTTTAAGAGACGTTCCTGCTGGTGAAAGCGATGCTTGGCTAGCAGCAAATATTTTACTCTCAGTGTAACATTCATTTCAGTAGTAGAATCACTGTAATAAAGCAACATACAGCAGAATTACAACATAACAGTGGATCTAAAAGTCTGGATCCGCTTGTTAAAATGCAAAAAGTTTGACGTAAAAGTGAGATTTAATTCACTTGATCGGTTAGAAACCTTTCATGCCTTTAATGTGACACACAATTCAACTAATAACTCATCTTGGTGTTGCAGTTTCTGCCCAATCTATCTTGCAAGCATGTTTCAGATTGGAAGAACTTGGGTCTGGACTTTGATTAGGCCGTTTGAGTTTAGTCTGGCAAATCGTTGTGGATTTCTAGTGTTATTGCACACACAGCGTAAAACAGCAACATATCAGACATTAGAGAAATTGTTGTCACAACAGAACCTTATTTCTGGTTAATATGACTGCATGCAATCATGGGAGGTTTGGACAGAAACTTACTAAATACTGTGAAGTTTTATTGAAAGCTGAAAGTGCGCGAACTTTCTCGAACTGAATTTGAGTCACATTGATGAAAGTTTTTTAAATTATTTGAAACAACCTGGCATTCGAGCAGGTAGTGATACTTTCTGTATCACTACAGCGACAACTTTACAGACGGTTTGCTGTTTGAAACTGTAACAACAACCATCCGTACATAAGACAGCGCTTTAGAGCCATTGAAGACAAAAAATAGACCAGGGTAATTTTTTTGTGTAAAAATGCTGAATATTTCACATCAAGATCAAAAAAATTCTAGAAAAAAATTTAAATTTCTGCGTTTCAGAAGTTGAAATATTTTTACTTTTGAAACTCAACAATTTTTATGTTTTTTTCCCAGAAAATTTCTGAGATTAATTAAACTTTTCTGAGTTTTTGCAAACAAATTTACAACTTTTCAAACTCAGAAACTAACATAATTTTTCTGGAAAATTTCTGAGATTAATTAAACTTTTCTGAGTTTTTTGCAAACAAATTTACAACTTTTCAAACTCAGAAACTAACATAATTTTTCTGGAAAATTTCTGAGATTAATTAAACTTTTCTGTGTTTTTGCAAACAAATTTACAACTTTTCAAACTCAGAAACTAACATAATTTTTCTGGAAAATTTCTGAGATTTTTGTCAAAATTTT